TTTCGCTAAGGTGTTCGAATCTTTAGTTTGTTCAATAATTCAAATGCATTTCAAACGTTTCGTTTCTGAGCATCAACATGGATTTTTGCCAGGTAGGTCTACCACCACTAATTTGGTTAGTTTCACTTCCTCATTATCAGAAGCTATTGACTCGCAAAAGCAGGTGGATACCATATATACGGATTTTAAAAAGGCATTTGACAAAGTTCCGCATGGAATACTTATTGAAAAATGATCGTATTATGGGTTTTCAGGCCTCTTGCCTTTCATCATACTTACACGACCGTTCTTTTTATGTAGTCGTTAATGGGTTTAGCTCTTCAACCAATCTGGTAACGTCAGATATACCTCAGGGCTTTCTTGTTTTAAAAACTCCACACCATACTTATATGCCGATGATTTGAAAATAACGAGAACAATTTGTTCACCAATTGATTCGATTTTATTACAGAGCGATCTAGATAAACTAACCAATTGGTGTAAATCTAATGGCATGCAACTCAACTGCAGTAAATGTCTTCATATAAAATTTACTAGAAAAAATAATATCACCCCAACGACATATAAATTGTACGGTAATAGTCTTTAGGAAGTTGAGCTCGTGAAAGACTTGGGTGTTATACTTGATAAAAAATTGACTTATCTTTATCACATACAAAGTGTAATAAACAAAGCTTCTAAATTATTAGGTTTTATTATGCGACAAGGTCAAACTTTTAAAGAAGCTGAAACAATAATCAGTCTTTACAACAGCCTTGTCCGCAGTCACTTAGAGTACTGTAGCGTTGTTTGGCGTGGACATTATTTTACACACTACTTAAGACTGGAGCGTGTACAGAAAAGATTCATGTGGCATCTATCATACTCAGCAATGATTAACAAAGCGGGGGTGTCATATAAAAAAAGGCTAACATACTTTAACATCATGACTCTTGACTAAAGAAGAGAATTGTTAGATATCATGTTTTTATACAAATTACTAAGTAATAAGTTAGACTGCCCCAGTTTACTAAGTAAAATTAATTTTCGAGTACCACGCAGATATCCGCGTACTGCTATTACTCCAGTCATGCTTCCACGCACCAGGACGGTTTTCGGCGCCAACTCCACAATCCCTTTTTATGTAAAATATATAATAAATTAAGTCAGTTGATTGACATTAACATTAATTCGCCTAACACCTTTCGTAAATTAATTATCAGCAAACTGGTCAACCAGTCATGCTGAGAGTGTGTTTTTTTCTCATTTTAATTATCACGTTTATTTTCTTTTAGTTTCTTATAATATAATTTAGTTGGGTTAAATTATGATAGTTGTTAAATTAAGTTGTAATTTTAATTGAAAGACTAATTATTAGTTTGATTAAATCTCTTTTGAAATTGCTTAAATTCATAAGGTTTTACAGGCTTTTACCAAAATTTTGTTTTATTTCTGTTATTAACTTATTTTCAGATTTATACACTAATACTTGCCGTGTAGTGGCGGTCAAGAACATCCACTACCCCATATCTTCCCGTGGGTGTCGTAAAAGGCGACAAAGGGAAACAGGCAGGAGATGGGCAGCAGCATCTTCCTGATAATAGCCATAATTACAATAAAAACACTGCGGTTGTCAACCCACTCGCCAAGCGTGGCAACTATGGAAAATACCCCCAAATGATTAGAGCAACAAACAGACGGCCCCCAGTCCCCGGCGGCCCCGCTATTCCTGGCTACTGTGGCGACCATGGTAACGGCGGGGCAGGGGGTGCTAAGAATCTCCGACGGAGGTTCGGTTGCCACCTTAGACGACTCGACCTGGCAACGTACAACGCACGCACCCTGAGGACTGACGAGAAGATCGTGGAGCTGGAAGAAGAGATAGACAAATTGCGCTAGCATATTATAGGATTATCCGAAGTCCAAAGAGAGGGGGAGGACACGGTAATCCTCGAATCCGGCAACTTGCTCTATCACCGGGAGGGCGACCATCTGTCCCAAGGAGGTGTCGGATTTATTGTCCACAAGTCTCTCGATAACAACGTTGTAAACATCGGGAGTGTGTCGACGAGGGTATCGTACCTTATACTCAGAATTACCAACCGGTATTCGCTGAAGGTCATACAGGTTTACGCACCAACCTCGGCACACCCCAATGAGGAGGTGGGGGAAATGTATGAGGATATCTCTAGAGCCATGCATTCCTCCAAAACCCAATATACGGTGTTAATGGGAGATTTCAATGCAAAACTAGGCACAAGAGAAAACGGTGAGCTGAAAGTAGGGAAATTTGGAATAGGGCAACGGAACCCAAGGAGCCAGCAGCTTGCCAACTTCATGGAGAAAGAGGGACTCTTTATGATGAACTCTTTCTTCCAGAAGCGGCCCCACGGGAAGTGGACCTGGTCAAGCCCCGACGGTTCGACAAAAAATGAGATTGACTTCATTATGACGACCAGACGACAACTGTTCAGTGATGTCTCCGTGATCGCGAGGGTGAAAACTAGTAGCGATCACCGAATGGTTAGAGGCACACTGAACCTAAACGTTAAGTTGGAGAGGTCTCGTCTAATGAAGTCAACGCTCCGTCCCCCTCGTGCTCTGTTTCAAAATCCCGAAACCTTTCAGCTCGAGTTACAAAACCGTTTTCAGTGCCTAGAAGACTGCAATGAAGTGGACGATATGAGTGACAAGCTCGTGGAAACTATCCATGCGGTCGGAGCTAAGTTCTGCAAAACCCGCCGCAGAAGATCACAAAAACTCTCCGATCACACTCTTAATCTCATGGCTGTTAGACGGGAGATGAAGCTACATTCTTCAACTGATTTGACAGCATACAGACAACTGAACAGACAGATCTCCAAATGCATGTAGCGGAACTTACGCAACTTCAATACAGCTTGTATTGAAGAAGCGATCGAGCGGAACCAAGGCTCCAAAGTTTTTGCCAGAGATTTGTCTGCTAGAAGGAGCCAACTGTCAAAGCTGAAGACCGAGTGTGGTAGCATCGTTTCCGGGGCACCTGAGATTTTGAGTGAGATTGAGAGGTTCTATGGACAGCTGTACACGTCATCGTTGGAGCCACACGCAAGTGTGAGTAACGATCCAAGAGCGGGTCTTATCCGATACTATTCCGAAGATATCCCGGACGTCAGTCTGAGCGAGATTAGAATGGCTGTCCAGCATCTTAAAAACGGCAAGGCCCCAGACGAGGATAGAATTACAGCGGAGCTTCTGAAAGCGGGTGGAAAACCGGTACTGGAAGTCCTTCAGAGGCTCTTTAATTCCGTCCTCCGTGGTGGCATTACACCGGAGGCGTGGAGCAGAAGTGCGGTGATTTTGTTCTTCAAGAAAGGTGACAATGCTCTCTTGATGAACTACAGAATTATTTCCCTTCTGAGCCGCGTCTACGTGCTGTTTTCGAGAGTCGTCGAATCGTCTCGCACGCAGACTTGACGACTTCCAGCCTCCCGAACAAGCCGGTTTCCGAAAGGGCTTTAGCACCATAGACCATACACATACCCTTCGGCAACTTATACAGAAGTCCAAGGAGTACAATTTGCCACTATGCCTGGCGTATGTGGACTATGAGAAAGCCTTTGATTCCGTCGAAATTTGGGCGGTGCTGCAGTCCCTTCAGCGGTGCGTAGTTGACTGTCGGTATATCGAGGTGCTGAAGTGCTTGTACAGTAGAGTTTCGATGGCTATCCGAGTACAGAACCAGAGTACGAAACCTATCCAATTGCAGAGAGGTGTAAGACAGGGTGACGTTATATCCCCGAAACTCTTCACTGCATTGGAAGACGTTTTCAAGCTTCTGGACTGGCAAGGATACGATATTAACATCAATGGCGAGTACATCACTCACCTTCGATTTGCCGACGATATAGTCCTTATGGAAGAATCGCTGGAGGACCTAAGCATTATAAAAGCAAGCATATAGGTCTTAAGATGAACATGGACGAAAAAAAGATTATGTTTAATGTCCATGTCACACCTATGCCGGTAGTTGTTGGGAGCACTAAGCTCGAAGTTGTTGACAAGTATGTTTACCTGGGACAAATAGTCCGACTAGGTAAGTCCAACTTCGACCGAGAGGTCAATCGACGGATTCAACTCGGCTGGGCAGCGTTCGGGAAGCTACGACACATCTTCTCGTCAGACATACCTCAAAACCTTAAAACGAAATTGTACAAACAGTGCGTGTTGCCAGTGATGACTTACGGAACTAAGACGTGGTTCTTCACTGCTGGCCATATGTGGAAGCTCAAGGTCGCTCAGCGAGCTATGGAGAGGGCTATGCTCGGAGTTTCTCTGCGTGATAAACTTAGAAATGAGTATATCCGCATTAGAACCAGAGAAACCGACATAGCCCAACTGATTAGTAAGCCGAAGTGGCAGTGGGCCGGCCATATAGCTCGATGAACCGACAACCGATGGGGAAAGAAGGTTCTTGAGTGGCAGCCTCGTCCCGGTAGGCGAAGTGTGGGGCGACCCCCCACGAGATGGAGTGACGACCTGGTGAGACATGCAGGAAGTCGATGGATGCAGGTGGCTCAGGACCGTGCTTTGTGGTATTCTTTGGGGAGGCCTATGTTCAGCAGTGGACTTATGAAAGGCTGTAATGATGATGATGATCACTAGCACAAATAGCATGTAGTGTTTACTTTTAAATGATTTTACATACTCTGTGCAAGTAATATAGTAATTACACTTTAAGAAATGTATGTAACGTATGTATTGTAAAACCGCTGGTAGACTAAATAAATAAAGTATACACTGCTTATTACAAATTTAATAATTTACATTTGAATTAATTTAATAATTAATACACTGCATTTGTATCATTTTCTGGAAGTTTAGTTTTCTGAAGGTTTCAGTTACTACTGCGTGTGAACTGCAGACATGTTTGTTTTTCACGCTCGTTAATTATGTAAGCAACAAATTGTCAGAACTTTTCTATGGAATTTTCTGAGGAATTTCTAATGTTTTTAAAATTTTTCGTGTTGTAAGTGGTAATCCTATGAGCCTGTGACGTCGTGATGCGTTTCCTTGTTAATGACGGTTGGATTGCTCGGTGTTGCTGCTATTTGTTCAGCCTCGCTAATTGTATCGGGTAACCGTGTGTTGAGGGTTTCTGGTGTAGTCAGCATTAATACACCAGCAATTAGGGCTGTCGTACCAGATAGTACTGACGGTAACCAATCTATGTATATCGCCTGCGAAGCAAAATATTTATTTCACTGTTAATTAGAAATTTTAATTAATTTTAATTTTACTTTTTTTATAGAATAAGGGTGACTAACAAACAACACAAAAAGGCACCTTTATGGTTTCTTTTTATATGATTAACGGTGACACGCGAGTACACAGTCCACCTGATGGCAAGTGGTTGCTGTGGCCCATAGACATCTACATCTATCCTCGTTTGCGAATAAAAATGCAAATGTGTTTTCAGCCGTGAGGATTAAGATGAAATGCCTCTTTTCCAGTAAAAAAGGTCTCCGGTTCTCTACACTCACCATACGAAAAACAGCAGCATTATGCTGCTATTTGACGCTGGTATTCTGTGAAAGAGTGGTCCTTCCCCGATCGAGCCGACCCATTCGTGCTACAACTATACAATTAATATACTTCGTAAGTGAGGCAAAAGTAATAATCCGATGTTCTTTGGGTGCAATTTTTTTTTACAAACTAAACATTTGGTTCTCTTTGTTGATTATTTATGTTTAATTCATTAGAATTTTTTTCCATAAAGCCGAGAACATGATATCGCACAAGTGGCCGCAGCCAGCATTGATGACCATACGGGCCCTTTTTATGGAATTTTTTCACTTTTACCAGAACTTCAGGCGATTGTATCGGCATTTGTATCGGATGTTGTACTTGAAGGCTTCTAGAGTCTGAGGTTTTTTATGTAAACACGGTACTTCAAAAACTTCCACAAAAAGAAGTCCGCTACGGTTAAATCGGGCGACCTTGGCGGCCAGTGCAAATCGCCAATACGAGAAATTCCTGCTTAAAAATATCGGTTGTGGCTCGGGCAGTGCTCGCCACTGCACCGTCCTGTTGGAGCCACATGATATCCAGTCTCAACTCATCCAATTGAGGAAGAAGAAACTCATTGAACATGGCTTTGGAGAGGTCGTTTACAGTAACAGTCTGGCCCGCGGCGTCCTCGAAAAAAAATGGCCCGATGATTTCGCCAGCTTAAACAGCGCACCATGCCGTAACCTTGAGCAAATGTAATAGCTTTTCGTGACTCCAACGTGAATTTTCGATGCCACAGAAGCGATAATTTTGGCAATTTACGTAGCTGCTGAGGTGAAATTGCACCTGATGAGGCTCATTTGCGCAATGGGCGATGGCTCATGATGAGTTTCGATGAAAAATGGTCACCTTCTTGGTCAAGATTCAGGGTGGCTTGAGCGTAGGTTACGCGCGTTTGGCGGGAACATCTTCAGGTTTTTCACCAAAATTCATCGTAGGGACCGCGTGCTAAGGCTTATTTGCGTGGCACATCATCTGGTCAATGTACCGGGGTCCATTTCGACATCTTCGGCTACCGCGGCGATATTCTTAGCAGAACGGCTAGTCCGAGGCCACGCCGAGGAGCATCTCGTGTTGTCCCAGTCTCTTTAAGGCGGACCGCCAAACGCAGCAGTGATTGTCCAATTGGTGTCAGACGGCCGGGAAATCTGCGACGAAATTCACGCTGTGCCACTAATGAATTATTGTGCAAAAAAAAGGAAACAATTATTCTGCTTTCTTGAGGAGTATAGCGATTCATGGCGTGTAGACATGTATTTTACATCTATTTACTTCTAATATGTCAAAACCGATTTGATATTTGATGCCATTTGCAAAAATGATAGCGCCTTCCAATAGGGCGACTACTTTTGCCTCGCCCGTTAGCTGCAGCATGGCTCTACCACGTCAAAATGATAAAAGGAGGTCGCCCATAGACATCTATCCTCGTTTAAAAATCCAAATGATGTGTTGTCACCCCTGGGGAATAAGATGGAATGCCTCGTTTCCAATGAAAAGGGCCTTGGATTCTCTACATTCACCATACGAAACACAGCAGGGTCCTTTTCTCCTGGTCAAGTCAAACAATTTGTGCTACAACCATAATATAGCTGCAATGTGGCACTAACAACTTCAATGTGCTCCTGTACAATTGTTTAAATAATGGTTTGAAGTGGATTTTGATATGTTAGAGTGGTACTAGTAGTGAAACAAGTACTCTGATGGTGATGTGAACCACAAGATAATGTGTCTGATTGGGCGCCTTGAAGTACTATCACCATCAACCGTCTGTTGGCCGTTGCTGCCGTCAATATTTCTCAAAATTTTCACAATCTTACAAATCAAGAGATTATGAAGAAGCAAAGAATAATTTTTTATTACTTTAAATTGACAAGAGTACAATCTTACGGGTCCATTATCAAATAAACAGAAAAAGAAGCAATAGCTTACCATTAGCGGCATCTGCGGGGCGATGATGGAACCGATACGGCCGACCATTGAGCAAAAGCTGAGCAGCGATTGACGCGCATGCGTCGGGAAAAGTTCAGATATGTACATATAGATGCCATAAAACGCCTGCGTGATTGTGATCTTGCCTATTAAGTACAGGAGTATTTGTAACCATGGTATCGCTAAAATAATAAAAATAAAAGGACATATATAATATATTACGTATTTAGCCTATGTCCTAAATAAATTGAAGTATTGCTCTATAATTTAGGATCCCCATGAAAGGTACTCAAATATTGAAAATAATTCAACAGTCAATTTTTATATTTATACGTTTATTATGTCACTAATTATTGTAATAATTGGTACCCATCTTTATAATATGTTATAGGCACGATCGAGTAGCAGCATCTTCCTGATAACTGAAAAAACTACGGACCCGCTTGCCAAGTAAGGCAACTAAGGCAAAATCCTTCCATGATGCAATCTATGAGGGAGGCCTATGTTCTGCAGTGGATTTTTTTTAGAGGCTGTAATGAATATTTATGCGAAAACTACACATTGCGCACTTCGTCACCCATGGTTACGAAGGGACCCTCTACGACCGCAAAGTGTAGTAATCAAAGCGTTGGGAATATAAAAATAAGCTAATTAAACGCGATAAAACTCGTAAGAATTAGTTTTATTCAATTTAAAGTTCTTTATAGTATACCATTACTTACAGGGACTCGAACCTTCCAAGGGTGAAAGTCCGAGCGGGCACCGTTTATTTGCCGAGCTGCCGGGTCACACAAGTCACAGTGATAAACACCACGTATAAATTATGTTATCAAAATTTGCGCTATTGTACTTATGTATGTATGTGTACCTTTACATGTCTAAGGTACCGTCAGAATAACAGTGCTGGGATAATGCTGTTGTTGCTTATGCTGAGTCGGTTACCATTTCTCTGCTGCAGCCAATATTAACTTTATATTTTCTTTGTCGTAAATATATAGTGTACTGCATTGTATTATTCTGTTATTTATTAATATATATTTATTTATACTACATTGTACACCTCAACAAAAAGTATTATAAAAGGCGGACTTAATGCATTTTGACATTCTCTCCCACTCAATCAGTCTCTTAAGTTTTCGATAATTCTATTTCGATTTGGAGGGTGAGAGAAGCAATATGTTTTACATTTACATTTTGTCGGAGGCTTGAAAACGCATTAGTGGACTTGATCCATATGCTGCCACTGGCCATCTGGTGGATTATTAGCTCGTACTTAAAACAAGTTTAATCCGACTTTGTTCTATTGTTATTTTCAATTTTAGTGCTAATTTCTTAATTATTCACAGAATGACACAATGAGGAAACCTGTATGGTTATAGAAAATGTTAGTATATTCCATATAAGCTTCAATGGAAAGTCTAGAAATACTTACATTTCGGTAAAAACGTTAGAGCCACGCACGAAATCCCGCATATGGTGAACGCGACTAGCAGCGTCTTCTTTCTTCCAATACGGTCTAGCACCAGCGCGTTAGAGATCACTGCAATCAACTCCACGCTCACCACCAGCATGAAGTTGGTGTATTTATCACCAGCAAGCGACACCGAGTTGATTGCCAGCCCGTAGTAGACGAAATTGCACGTGATCATCCACCAGGAACATATGGCAAGGCGTTTCATGATGATGGGTGAATGCAGTACTTGGATCCACAGGCCTTTTTCTTCTTCCAAATCCTGCTTCGCCTCCGTCGTTTCAATATTTTCTTCCATCTTCAACTTCATCATTGTCTCCTCTGATAGAGTTACATTGTTCATTTTTGCAGCTCTCATTATTATTTCCACTGCTTCCTCTTTCCTATTCTGTGATAGCAGCCATCGGATACTCTCAGGTAGCAGATAAATGTAGGAAAGGAAGAGTAAAGATGGTGGGTAGACGACCAGTATGAAGGTACGCCAGTAAGGTAAGATTTTGGCCAACAAAGCAAAAATAAGGCCGCCAAGTACAAATAAAATGCCCATAAATGTTGTAGCATGTACTCGTTTGTCTTGTGCTACAAGCTCGATTGCTGAAAATTTAAAAAATTTAAAAATATTAGCATATTCGTCAATCCAATTACAGTCCACAAGTGGACATGACTGGACGTGATGTGATTTCTCGTAATCGATCCATTAGACATCTTGTTCTTGCAGCTGATCTGTGGGTTTACAATACGGTACAAATGTATGAAATCGTTATATTGCTATCAGTCAATAACTTCAAAACTTTAAATTTTAATTATTTATGCCCAGTCACACTGCGCTTCCTGATATTATTCCATGGGAGTCTTAAAAGGCGACGGAAGAAAATTGAAACAGAAATCGGGCAGCAGCATTTTCTGATAACAATTCAGAATAATAATAAAACTGCTGCTGACGATGCCAACCCGTTCATTAAGCGTGGCAACAGTGTCCAAGCAACCACATGCTAAACCTCCCTACATTTTTTCTAAGTTATGGTGAAAAGCTTTAAGCCGGTATCACTATGGCATGCACACAAAGACAGACAGTATGAGTGTAAGACGAAGCTGTAACGCAAACAAGTTAGTCATTTCTGGCCTATATTTTGAAACGTAAATATAGCGCGTCGCGGTATCTAAACATCATAATAGTATGATCTAAGGCCTATGTTACTTGAGAATAGTGTAGCTTTCAAAATGAGATTTTTTTTAGAATCGGTTCAGCAGTTTCAAGGATTACCTCCTTCTACAAACAAACTTATATACCGACAAATAATTTTACTTCTTTTTAATACATATATACATACATAAACACTCACGCCTGTTACCCAGAGGGTTAGGCAGAGACTACGGAATTTCATTTGGCATGATCCTGACACACCTCTCTCATCTCCTTTACATCCATATATATACACATAAACGCTCGTCGGTTAAGGGTTCTCCTAATCTGGCCCATTTTCAATATATCGCCAACTTGGTCGGTAAACCTTCATCCAGGGCGTCCCTTCCCGACTCTGCCGTTCACTTCTGCAACATAAATTTACATTGTCACTCTTTCCTCGTTCATTCTTTCGGGTTGGATTTAGAATTGTTTGGCACGAATTTGACGGAGTAAGGCGTTTTATTGGTCCCCGGTGGATTTCGTCCCCGATTTTTTTTTATAGAAGAGCGGGTAAACGAGCATGCGGCTCACCTGATGGTAAGTGACTACCGCCGCCCATGAACAACCGCAACACCAGGGGAATTGCAGATGCGTTGCCGGCCTTTTAGAAAGGTGTAAGCTCTTTTCTCGAAGGTTCCTAAGTCGTATCGGTCCGGAAAATTTGCTGGTGGTAATTGATTCCACAAGGAAGTTGTGCGAGGCAGAAAACTTCTTCTAAATCGCACAGTGGTGGACCGCCAATTATCCAGATGGTATAGATGGTAACGCGAGTTTTGTCGCGATGTGCGATGGTGAAACTGAGCGGCTGAAATAAGTCCGAACAATTCCTCAGAGCACTCCTCGTGATAGATGCGATAAAATACGCAAAGAGATGCAAAATCTCTACACAGTGCCAGTGTATCGAGCCGATCAGAAGGAACTCGGTCTTCGACGATTTGAATCGCTCTACGCTGGATGCGGTCAAGTGGAAGGAGCTGGCACTGGGGTGCCCCGGCCCAGAGATGAGAACAGTATTCCATGTGGGGCCGAACTTGCACTTTGTAAAGTTGCCGGCATGAAATACTGTCTCGCTCTGCTGAGCACGCAAAGCTTTTTAGAGGCTAATTTGGCCTTCCCTTCCAAGTGACCACGAAACTGCACACTATTCGATATGTCGACGCCAAGGATTCCGATGCTAGATAACGCAACAAGGAAAGTGATACGACTTGAAACTGAGGAGATACGACAAAGGGGTTCTTTTTAGCTGTAAAAGCGCAAACTTGTGTCTTCTGGGGATTGAACTGGACTAGATTTAGTCGGCCCCAATCCAAGACTTTGTTAAGCAAAAAGCATGTTCAGACACAAGTTTGTCCCAGTACTCGGCGACGTTTTCCCGAGAAATATTGGCACGGCCGGTATATAAGGCATCACCAGTGCTGTCGTCCGTATAGCAATGAATACTACCAGTTAGCAACATATCATAATATGCAGGAGAAACAGCGTTGGTGATAGCACGCAGCCTTGTGGAACACCAGCGTTGATAGGTTTGAAATCAGAGCATGCACCCTCTATTACGACCTTGATGCTCCGATTAGCAAGGAAACTGGTGATCCATTTGCACAATTTCACGGAAAGCCCATAGGAAGGAAGCTTCAAAAGAAGCGCTTTGTGCTAGACCCGATCGAAGGCCTTCGCTATGTCCAAACTAACGGCCAATGCCTCCCCCTTGGACTCTACTGCCTCCGCCCATCTCTGAGTCAGATAGACTAGAAGATCACCAGCTGATCGACCCCGACGAAAACCGTACTGGCGGTCACTAATCAGCTGGTGATCCTCAAGGTACCTCATGAGCTGGCAGTTTATAATGGATTCCATTATTTTGGAGAACAATGATGTGAACAAGTGATGGCGATAGGCCTGTAGTTGGACGGATCTGAGCGGTCGCCTTTTTTAGGGATCGGGTAGACCAAAGCTGTCTTCCATGAATTCGGGACTACGCCTTGGGAGTAGGAGTACCGGAAAAGAAGCGTTAATACCGGTGCCAACTCCGGAGCACACGTCTTCAGCACAATGGGAGGGACTCCATCGGGCCCACTCGACTTGCTGACGTTCAGGGAGAAGAGTGCTCTGCGAACCGAGCGCTGTGGCAACCGCACATCCAGCATGGAGCACTCACATCGCGGGATGGTCGGCGGTGTGTTCCCCCCGGCATCCAGAGTCAAGTTGGATGCAAAAAAAGAGCTCAACAGATCGGCTTTCTCTTTTGCGACCTGGGCCAGTGAGTCGTCCTCTCTGTGCAGAGATTGAAGAAATGGCTGACAGAAGTTCCCTTGGACAGCCTTGGCGAGAGACCAGAATGCACAGGTTCCTGAAGGAAGGCGAACTAGCTTCTCGCCAATTCTGCCGATGTGCTCAGTTCTTTCCTTGGCAATGACGCTTTTGAAGGACCTGGAGGCGGAATTATAATTCTTTTTAAGTGCGCTGGTGTTTACATCCCGAGACGTTGATGCGTTAGCCCAGGCCCGGTAGCACTCCTGCTTATAGCGTGTTTTTTACAGTAGCGACCAAACCATGGTTGGGATCTGCCTCCGATGGGCACCACAGAGGATGGAATAAAAAGTTCCATACCCTGAAGTACCACATCAGCAACAGAATCGGCAACAACGCTGGGATCTTCCGGCGAGAAGCAAAATAGGCGAAGTAACCAGTTGTGTTAGACCATATGCCAAGGCAAATTCATAGACAGAATCTACCCGCATGATTGGTTAAACGAGAACCAAGTCATTCAGCGTGGTGGTCGTTAAAGTCACCGAGTATCACGATCTCTGCGGATAGGACCTGTAGACCCGTAGACGCGGGGATGGTCATCGCTGTCTACGCGCAGCCATAGGATGGACAGGTCCGTATCTTTAAGACTGCCGAGGCGTCGAAAACAGATGTCCTCTCTGACGTATAAGCAAACTCCAGCCCGAGCACAAAGGAGTGTTCCAATTTGTACCCCGGGTAGGAGAGATATGATGTATCAGCCGGAGAGGACACCTGAGTCTCGGCTAAAAAGAGCAAGGCCGGCTTTGCCGTCTCTAGATGCTAATGGACAGCGTTAAGGGTGGAATGAAGTCCCCTGATGTTGCAAAAATTCACGGATAGCGTGACAGGGGTCACCTTGGTTGTATTGATCCGCTTGCCCCGGATCAAAACCTGGCAGATCGAGTTCGCTACATCGTGCGCTCGAAAATATTTGATGATGCCGAATTCGAACGATTACGACGTGAGGCTATTCCCTCATTGAATGAACCGGCTGTAGCTGGGGATGCGGCTCCTCAGGTCACAGACCAGCAGCCATATGTAGAGACCGCCATGGATTTTCCCGCTCTGGTTGATTCAGGCGATGATGGAATAGTCCCCCAAGAACTAGAGTAGATGAAGAGTAAATTGGAGGAGGCGATTGTGGAAACGCGCAGTACGCCTCTCGAAAATCGACCGCGACTCCCGCGCATACCCCTAAGCAAGCGGAATCAGGCTGTCGTGAGGGCTCTCAACCCAATACTGGTGACCTGTTTGGAAGCCAGCCGGGCCCTTTGTGAGACGGACTCAATTCTTTTTGGCGCCGCATTGGCAGTTTGCCGTATTATTAGCGCCAAACTTCCGAGGGCTGGACGCGCTACTAGACAAAGTAGCGCCATCCCAGCCTGGAAAAGAAGGATTGAGGACCGTATCGCAAAGGCAAGGGCCCTCATCGGTAGACTGATAAGCTTCAGGTCGGGCAATAATAGGCCGAGAATTGTGCGCACCGTCAGGATGGCGTTTGCTGGGACAAATATCAGTTTGTTCCAGCCAGTTATAACGCAAAAACTGACAAAGCGCATAGACGACCTGAAGCAGAGAATCCTTCCTTCCTTCCGATCAATCCTTCCGAGAAGCAGGGAAGCGGATTCGGCGATATAAGGAGAGGTCGACACGGTTCAACCACAATCGTCTCTTCCAGAGTGATCAAAAGAGGCTCTATGAATCATTGGAGCGAGCAATGGTACGTGGAACGGGCTCAGTACCGAATCAGGCCGACACTATCGCATTCTGGCGCGGCCTGTGGTCAGAGCCCGTAATCCACAGCAAGGGCTTTCGGACGGAAGTTGTGGCGAGTCAGTGTGCGAATATTACGCCCATGGACCCCGTCATCATAACGCCGGATGACGTAGCGGTGGCGGTCCGTAGGGCCCCGAACTGGAAAAGTCCGGGACTCGACGGACTGCATCATTACTGGCTGAAGGGGATCGTGGTGTGTCACGCTGTGCTCACGCGACAGTTTCAAGAAGTTCTCGACCAAAAGTCACTTCCGAGCCTTTTCACTACTGGGATCACTCATTTGGTTCCTAAAGACCAGGATTCCACAGACTCGAGCAAATACCGCCCCATAACGTGTCTACCTACC